TTTTTCATTAGATGCCTGTCTACTTCATTTGCTCAGATAATTTTACCTTCCAAGCTGGTTAATAGGGAGTTTTGGTGGATGTTTGTTTTATATAAGACTACTGAACAAAAGAAAGCAGAAATGTGGCTTGCCACAGCAGCCATGTGTAACAGCAAGCACTCCAGAGATGGCATTAATTGGGATTACAGATTGGCTTGACTCATAATGGACTTTGCCTCTGGCTTGATGCTTGCCAAACTTGTGTGTAATCCCTGCAAGTGGTCTCTAGAGGGGTCTCCATTCTTCAATCATTTGGTTTTGATATAGCAAGTTATACTGTATGTTTTCTGGTATCTGAAACAAAAGTGCACATTATATTCTCATTCTTCCTGTACAGAGCAGTTATGATAAAAGGATACTTGAAATATTCACTATGTTTTGAGTCTGAAATTTGAACAAAAGGAAACAAGCTTAACTTTCTCCAAGCTTAGTAAAATAAATTAATAGGATTAAGAGAAAATTAAAACCACTAGAAAAACAGATTTTAGTGATGTAGGAGACAGGACAGTATTGTTTCCATGGAATGAGACTGAAATTCCCCAGAGATAAAATCCAGTTGAATATAGAAAAGATTATTTATCACATAGGTAAAACTTGGATGGATACCACTTACTAACGGTAATACTAATACAGCAATTACTATAGTATGATATTAATAATACAGTATGACAAAATCCATACTTTTCAGTACATAACAAATGAAAATGGATACCTGCTTAATAGTTCCATTCAATATATAGCGAAAAGCACTCTGAACTGATTCAAATTTATTCTCAGAGTATTTAATTTAAGAATTACTGCCTGAGAGCTTTTATTGTTTTTACACATTGTTAGTGGCCAGACATTCTGGTCTGGTAATGCTAAACACTGATTCCCCAAAATGTTGCCTGTGGTTGTTAATGGGGAGGTGGTAATAAAAGTCAAGATTGTGGCTTTGATCATGGAGCTGTGACCACCATCTTGACTTTTTTGACTCCCCCATACCCCTGTTTAATTCCCACCATGCTTCAGGGCTCAACTGATTTTATGTTTTACATTCTTTTAACTAAATACCATGCTATAAAGCTACGTGTTTTTCTGGGCCTCAAAGATTTACTTTGAGAAGATCAACAACATCCTATAAAGTTAGAGACAATGGTGGGGAGCAATCTCATCAGTTTGCTTTCTGGTAAATCAGTGTATTTATTTTAGTGACCATGCACACTATGGTAGCCATTTTACAAAACCACCCGTAACATTGCAGACTGACTCAGAATGGTTGAAGACTGCACTAAGTCATGGTTTAATATTGTATGGCTAGCAAGAAGCCCACCCAAGACTCAGAATTCGGCTCCCCACTTATTCTCTTTCACAGAAAGAAGGGGAAAAAACTATTTAAAACTAGCTCTTATTAAACAAGCCAATTCCATTATGTATTGTTTGAAGATGGACTACTTAAAAACAGAGCAGCTTACTGCAACAATGTCAGATTTCCTAGAATGTGAGACCAAACCCTCTTGGCTGCATGAAAAGAAAGCATCCAGTGGGCCTTAGAGCAGCAGCATCTTCTTGCTTGTACACAAAGCACCTGAGATCCAAGGTCCGTATGAGGCTTCAACATTTTTCTGTTGCTGTGACTCCTGGAGCCTTCTTCTACCATAACTGCTGAAAACTGGCATATGCTTCTTCCATTTTGAGGCAGGAAACACATGACAACTGTAGAGTAAGTCCTAAAATAGACCTAACACAGTAGAAAAAAGCAAAATCCCTCCCTAAATCTCTGTATCTGTACAACATAAATGGACTTGCTTGTTTTGCATTATCATCCAGCTTTCTGTGAGTTTTGGCTGTTAAGGTTGTCCACCCCTGCATTATCATGGTTTACTAATATGTGAAAGCATGACATCCATACATTCCATGCTGTGCTTGTTTACTTGAATAGCTTGCTTTTATAAATTTAAAGGCTAAACTGGAGTTTGGTTGCAGATATATTATAAAAGCATAATTGTCTAGTAGTATTCCATTGTAGTTCAAAATATTCTTCAGCAACTGCCTTGTGTTGAAGTGGCACTCCTGCACAGCATGGTACTTGAGTGTTTAGAGGTCTATAGTGATAGCATTTAGGCTACTGAGTAACTGAATTGACCATTTCATACTCAGTGATTTAAATGGTAAAGATCCTGTGGAGGGAGCTGAATTTGAATGTTGATTCCAATAACTCTACTGACAGGTTAATAAGGCAACCCCAAATTACAAAAACAAGGAAAGTTTAAACCGAAATCAACTGAGCCATGTACAAAAACCACACTGAGTATAGCTTTGCTAAAAATGAACACAGAATGAAAGTGAAATTACCAGATCCAAACAAGTAATGAAAAGATAAAATAAATTATATGTACAGCCTGATCCTAAACATATTATCTGGAAGTAAGCTACATGAGTTTCAGTTGTCCTTACTTTCAAATAAGCTTCCTTAGGATTGCAACATAAAGTTTTCCTATGGGCATAAAGGCGGGGTATAAATGTTGATGTTGAATGGTCACTTCCATAAATCTAGCCTATAAATTTTAATTATAATGATCTTTTAATAGCTTACTATACAATCAAATTTGTCATTGGGAAGACAAAACACCAATACTGTAGAAGTAATCAAATCACTGCTGCTTTACACCCAAGCAAACAAGTAAACATGGCTAAACGTTCAGCAAAAATAATTCTATGTGTATTAAAACAAAAATTACAAGGCATTTCTAAAGATCAAATGACAAAGATTTAGCTATACAGTCACCAAGTCAGTCCGTCAGTCCCTCCCTCTCTCCCTCCCTCTCTCTCTCTCCTATTTTTAAAAACAGCACACAGCCTCACAGACAGTACCAACTGAAAGTCTGGTGAAATAATGTTTGATCATGTTTCTTAATCAACGTTCATCAAATTGAAAGCAGTTCAATCAAGAGGGCCTTCCTTGGAAAGGATGCAAAATAGCATCAAAGTCTTGAACTTTCTGTTGGGCTTAGCCATTATATATAGCAAAAAGATAGAGGTTCGAATCTTAAATTCATTTATTATATAATAACTTATCCTGGGAATATTCTTCTAAAAGTACATTTGTATAATTAGCTTCTTTATTCCCCATTTTTGTGGTAAAAACCGAAGCTTAAAGTATATACCAGATTGAAGACCTACTTGGATAGTGCTATTTCTCAGAAAAGATATCCATTGACAAATCTTTATTAACAAGTAGTAGAATAAAATAATAATAAACATATATTGTCCCATTAATAACAGCTTTAATTGGACTATGGTTTCCTTAGTTCCTAAAAATAAATCGAGAATTCAACCTGGTTACCAAACAGAGGAGGGGGCAGAGAAAAAGAAATAAAATGCATAGAAGAAGGTTTCCTGCATTAGAAACGATGTACAACAAATATACATAAATTAAAATAATAATGTGAGAGGAGCTAGAAATAACTAATAACCAAGAGATGGTTGAAATAAGAACTGTCTAAGTCTGTCACAGCTTATGTCATCAGAATCCCCTGAGAGACTAAGAATCCTATTACAGACAATAAGAAGTACATTATTCTCTATATTATTACATTTTGCTATATGGCACTGCTGTGCTTCAACTGCAGCTTGACAAATCACAATATAGATGCAACTCTGAGACATATTTAAACAGCATTGTCATGCTGAGTGCAACCTACTTCCATCCAGTCTGCTTGCTTCAGAATTCCATGGTGAATTCAGGAGCAGTAAACTGGTCATATAAACAAAGAATTACAAAATGGATCATTACAAAAAGATAAAATGAAGTGGTTAATTCATTGGGGACATTAATCTATAAGCCATTTTAAGCTAAATTATATCTTTGAAAGAAAATGTTTATGTCTTAACTTGTTCAGATTAGATAATGATGAGAAAGAATTAATGTTGGGAAGGAAAAATATTTCCTATGAGAAAATGCAGAAACACACTCCATATCTTGAGATCAGCTGTTTAATTAAATAACAAATAATTTCTTTTGCGAGAGAAGAAATTTTTTCTTACCTACATGCTATATTTATAAACAAATGGGTGCACAACATTTTAAAAAGTAGCTGCTATAGCATTTTACATTTTAATGAAGAGTGTCTGTGTGCACTTCTGTGTGTGTATGTGTATGTATGTGCATGTGTGCCCACACAAGTACAGGGAGAGAGAAGGTTTGCAATAAAGTTCAGTGGCTTGGTTTCAGATATATTCAAGATGGCCCGTATCACCCTAAATTTGTCCATTCTGAAGCCCCACTGTGTAGAATATTCTGTAAAACAGCAATGGTATGCACATTTACTTGAATTTACTTCCAGGGTAGGGTAGGGTAGGGTAGGGTAGGGTAGGACAGGACAGGACAGGACAGGACAGGACAGGACAGGACAGGACAGGACAGGACAGGACAGTCTTTTTATAAAGACATGGAATATTTCTCCATGCTTCTTATATCAGTCTGGGTATTTAAACATACTCCATCTATATGCAGTGCACAGATAATAGTTGATGTGCTTATGCTGTGGTTTACTTCATAATATTCAAAGATAAAAGCTACTTACTTACCTTGCTTCCAAGAAATAAAGACATTGGATCTTTAATACAAGAAAGCACCCACCTTACCATTAGAAATAGTGAGACAGTTCTCTAAGACAAGAGGTTTGGTGCATTATGAACGTTAACTCCGAGAAGAGAAATTGGGAGAATCTTCCTATTGCAGGTGCCAGAATAACTTATCCAGCACTGGGTATTCTATCATTTGCTTCCTGACTCACGCAATGGGAATCTGGCAGAAAAATTGTCTTGTGCTAACCTGGGATGATGGAACATGCTCCCAGCCTCATTATCAAAATGTATGCCACTGCATTATACAGCTAATAATGTAGGATATGGCATGATTGACTCCTTATTTCAGGAGACTTTGGACAAACTCATGAGATCTAATAATTACATCTAACCATAAAAAGGAAACATTAATTGTTCACTCATATACTCTAAAGGCTTTTCCTAAGACATAGGAATTTCAACAATGACATACGATCATAGGCTGCTCTAGCAATAGCTTTCGCGGCATTCTTCTGAAAATCAGTTAGGGTGGAAACTTCAGTAAAGGCCAGGAGTTTTCTGAGACCCCCTGTCTCCTGAATCAGTTGCACAGTATCCACATCCTCAAGACAATTTGCCACAACTCCAAGAGCTTCTACATGTAGATCATTAAATTCCTATAATTTAAAAAGATGCAGATATTAAATCAGCATTATAAAAGCATTTAAAACTATGATTTTTACTGTTTTCTGACCACATATTACGGTATACTACATTTCCATAATGCAACTATCACTATTCGCATATATAAAAACAGTGGTCTGATAAACAAATATGCCTTGACAGGACACCCTGGTTGCAGCAAAACATTTGACAAGCTCTCCCATATCTTTGCTGGCAGCACAATAAAATGTTGCATGCTAGTTGCCAAGAGAGGGATCAGTAGCTGCTTATTAATGTTTCAGTGTTAATCTGGAGGGAACTCTTTAGTGGAAGGCCAGAAGACATTTTCTTGAGTGTTGAACTGATGAATTAACTATTTTATAAATGATCTGGACAATGTTGTTTATCACATTTGCAGATGACATAAAAATGGAAAGGTCAGTTACCAGCATAAAAAATTGAATGAAGATTTGAACGATCCTGACAGACTAGAATTCTAGGCTAAATCCAGTAAGATGAATTTCAAGACTTAAATATAAAATCTTGCATTTATGCCCACCCCCAACCTCAAATTTCAGAAGGTACGGAGGTCTATTTTAAAAGTAATTTCTTAAAAGGGTCTGTTTCTGGATTAAAAAAAGAATGGGAGCCAGCTGTACCGTAAGGCTATTAAAAAGACAAATACAAGGCATCCAAGTGATAGGAAGTAATAATTCTGCATTAGTCAGGGCACATTTATAATAGTGTGCCCTATTCTGGATGTCATAATTTAAGGAGAACACTGACTAAGTGGAGCACATTAGGAAAAAGGGCAACTAGGAAAGGAAGGAACCATGAAACAAATTCTATGAAGACTAACTGAAAAAGCTGGTATGATTAGTGTGGAGAAAAGATGATTAAGGGGAAATATATGATATATTCTCTGTAGCAGCATCTGCTCTCTGGAACAAGGTTCCCCCCAAGATCCAGCTGGTACCTATTCTGCTGTTGTTTAGAAGTACTGTGAAGAACTGGCTCTTCACCCAGTCCTTCACTGAGGGAGAGTAAGACCCCTTGCTTCATTGTGC